TCACCTGGGTGGTGGAAGATGGAAGTTGCCTTGGAAACCGCAACAAGACCTTGATGGCTTCTGGACAGCTTCCGCGAGGCTCTGGGCTTTGTACACACCAGCAGCAGGCTGGTTTCCTTTTTGTAAATTGCTGTTTTTCCATCATGCCTTTTCTCCCCAGATGGGAACCCACCACTGTGGAGTCTCCTGGTGCTGTGGGGCACTAGACGTGGGGCGGTGTGCTGCACTGGGAAGCGGCAGTGGGAAAGTGGGCTGGCTTGCTTTCACAGAGCTCAGTTGTACCTCTAAGTCCAGCCAAACCTTCAAGGAGAAGTATAAAGCAGCTGAATAGAAAAAAGCAAGCTCTAAAAAGTGGAAAGGATCATTAGTCTTCTGTGGCCTCAGTGTCAATTCTCTCAGCTTCTGTGTAAGGTGGAGAGTCCTCACTCCTCATCATGCTTCCTAAGCACTGTGCAGCGATTGTCCATGATGGCCACTAAAATGGAACCAGACCTCCCACTGCTGCAACAAGATTCTGCTCCCATGGCTTAGCATATGGCTCACACATTTGACCTTGTTGTGTCCTTCTTGTCCATGAGGCCAATGTGCCATCCACAACTCCATCCTGTATTGTGCAATGGAAAGAGGAGAAAGTCAGGCAGAAGAGGAAGATGCCAACAAATATAACTCAAAATCACAGTAAATGGCAGACATGGGGTATGGAATGGCCAGGAGGGGAAGAATCAGCTTCTGTCCTGTCCTATGAAAATTGTTTCTTACAAGGAGCCTAGTTCCTTTTCCAACACCAGCCTCTACTGGAGTTCTGGAGATCCTATTCCCAAACATATATATAACTCCCAAAAATTACACAATGAGAGTCCCCTTCTGAATGATGAATGGCATTCAGGATCTCCCACTATTATCATCTTTCTTGTTTCTGTGGACAACCCTGTGTGAGGCCCTGCAGACCAGACACGTGACTTTCTTGTGGGTCATGGAGAAACACCTAAAGGTACTTACAACAAGATGGTGTGTACAAGACTCATTGTGAGATGTTGTGGGAAAAGCATGCTTTGGGATATTTTTTGAGAGCTATGGGAACATATAGGACTTAGTTCAGGATGTTGGGGGATGGATTAAAAGTGGGGAAAGGATGGAATTGAGGTGGATTGGAAAGGAGTGAGTGTCAGAAAAAAAAGAGTATAGAAAGGGCAGGTCAGTATGCTCTCCTGAGCCCTGCCTGCATGCGATCACTCCAATCTGTTCTGTATTCCCATTAAAACCTATTTTTGTCTTGTGAAACCAGATTGTGCTTTCTGTCTGAATGGGGGGGTGTGAGCACAGCAAGCGTGATCCTGGACTGATTGGTGAGCAGTGGCAGAGGGCTGAACACTGCAGCAGCAGGGCTGCGAGCCAGGGGCTTGCACGTCCAGGTACCAGCTAGAGGCTAGCAGAGCAGGGGATCAGGAAGCAGCTACAGGATACTGTGTCCAAGGACAGCTGCCTCTGTGTGTGAATGTACATGTCCACATACCATTAATGGTCTTCAACACTAACCAGATGTCAGGGAAGAAGAGAATGGGGCAGCAGGCTTCTCTGGCAGGTGGGGAGACCAGCCTGCTGGGAAGAAGCAATTGTCAGCACAGCAGGACAGATCTGGACCCTTAAATTCATCACAACTCCAAAGGCAAGAATTTTTCCTTTCAAAGCCCTTAGGCTTTTCTTTCTCTGGGCTCTTGAGTGCTCTGTGGAGACACAGGTTCGTCACAAAATGTATGGATTGCACTAATGTGAAAGAGGTACAATCAGATCTACAGGTTGGAACAGAGACACAAGAAGGCCATGCTTGTTTCCCGATAAAGATCATCCATCACTAGAAGGTAATGTTAATCAAAAGAGTGAATCAGGAGGGGATGTTAAAGCATGGGAATTCCACAAGGCTCAGAAGCCAACAGTCCACTGGGCTGCCAAGGGCTGCACCACTAACTGTCAGATAGAGGGGTGGCCATCCTCAATTTTTGAATTCCTTCTGCTGTATTTGTAAGGAACACTTTCAAAGTAGTGCTGGATATCCTTCATATATTATCTTCCTCAATTAGAAACAATGTGATAGTTTTAGTTTTTGCAAAGTATCACCCAAAGAAAGCCTACCTATATTTGATGCTCTGCCATGATGAAGTTCAAGATGAAGCCACATTGCAAAGCTTTACAAGACACCTCAAATGCAATCTTTAGAAGGCAGTCTTGCAGACTCATGTGAAATAAGTTTTAGACTAAACTGCAGAGAAGAGAAAACAGTGAAAATTTTTATATTTCTGAAGTAACCCTTTAGGGAATAGTTTTTAACTTTGTGCGGTATTAGAGCTACATATATTCCATGGAATATACCATATATGTTATATGCAAACAGAAAATGTTTGACATCGCTGCAGAGAATTGCAAGTAGCTGCAGGTCGGAGCAGCAGCAGCCTGAGTGTGGTCCCAGAGGCTGTCATTTCATTTAGAGGCTGGACTGGGGAGAATTACAATCACTATATTCCTGTTCTGCAACAGCCTTTTTAGCTTCAGCCAAGGCCTGGCACTGCAGCTGCACTGTCATAGTGCAGATTATGGGAAGATGTGTTAAGCCCTCACAAACATTTTCTTGTCAAAAGGAAATGATTAAGTTACAGGAGCTTTTTTTTTTTTGGTCAAGTGAGCAGAAAAAAGGAAAACCTCTTCAGTTTCCAAGGGTATGCTTCTTAATAGCAAATAAATGCTTACAAGGACATCACTTCCAGGGCTGCAGGCCACAGGGTCTGTTTGTTTCTTCACGCTTACATCTCTCCAGCTCCTTTAGGCTTCTGGCCTCTTCCAGGGACAATGACCTCTGGAAAACATTAATTAAAGTATGTCGCCAGTGATGGAAATGAAAGCCATGCAGAAATGCACCTAATGGGCTTGAAATTTGATGTCCTAACCACGTGTACAACCAGTGCAGTTTGGACAGCAGAGTTTTCTGATTTATTTATAACCAACATGGACAAGAAAGAGGAGCCACACCAGAATTTCCTTTGAAGGCAGAGTTTACGATACTACATGGTTGTGTCTGCAACATCTCCTAATACTATTAGGAAGAGAAGGAGGTTGGCTCTGTGGGGCAGCTTGTGCTGTGGCAATTCAAGGTGGTGACTGGCAAGGCAGCACCATGAGACCTCCCTGGGACCAATGGGGAGGACACAGCTGGGGGTGTCCCTTTGGTAGGGGAGGCCTAGGTTCCCCCAGGGACGTCCTCCCATCCCCAGTACTGATGTGCTAAGGGGGAGGGGAGGTGGTTGGTTTTTAGCATTGGCTGGGTGGACACATGCGCTCGTGTGTCTCCCTTCATCCTCACCAGGGAGACAACCCAGGTGTCTTCAGAGGACTTTTAGTTCCCTCCTCAGCCCCAAACTCCAAGCCAAAGCAGTGTGGCTCTGTAACATAAACCAAGCCAGATTCAGAGCATTCACTTTGGAGACTTAAATGCTTAAAAAATTAATAAAAAGAAGTCGTGGTGGACCTAAGCCAACTTATGCTGTGTAGATTGTAAGATGCCACAGAGATATGAGCCAAGCGGCCAGGATGGATCCAGCCCAATAGTGCTGTGTGAGCCCCCCTAGGCTGTCTGGCCAGACACTAAATAGAAGTGTCTTCAAGATGTTTATTTAGGAAGGGGCATGGCTAATGAAGAAATGGGTCCTGCTGAGCAATAGGGCTGCTGCTCAAGGTAAGGAAGGCAGACGTACCCGTGGGGCTCTCCTGCTCCAGAATTTCTGCTGTTTGAACAAAAGTCTGGCTTGCAGGACTCAACCAGAGCAGCTGACAGGGTCAGGATTGTGTCACAGTTCTGCTGCTCTACCATAAACCCATCTACCAAGCTCCAGTGGGCAAAGGATCTTCTCTTCCTTGAGCTGTAGCTGATGTAACAGTGCTTCTCCTCTCCCCATCGTGTCTGGGCTCAGACAAATTCCTTCCTGATCTAAGCTGACGGGGGGCAAGCCTGTACAAACCCACAAGATCTAAAGGCATATCCTAGGAAACACAAAGCAGTAGCCACAGAACTCTGCAACTGGCTTGTTCCAGGACCAGTGATGGGGAGAGCTGCGAGGGCTCTTCCAGGGTTCACACAACTTAAGATGTAGCAAAAAGTATTTGTTGATGTACACAAAGTGTTTTGCAGCAGCTCGGGTATTAGCAAAGGCAGGGAGAGAGGCTCTCCAAGAGAGTCAAACCCCTGGCCAGGTGTTCATGTGCAAGGACAAGTGACTACAGCCCTATGAAGTGAAACAAGTGGTTGCTATGTTAAGCAGCCTGGCCCAGCCACTTCTTTCCTCCCCCTTCCTCTAAAGTCTGCTTATGAGAATTCTTTCTGAATATTTATGTTTGGAATACTTATTTGGAAGAAGTCACAGCTGCAGCTGCTCCTGCTGAAATGACAGTCTGTGCTGCTGTCTCCTGGAGACTTAAGTTCCCACTCTAAAAGGAAGACTTTGTTTTTTAAAAATAAGGCTTGATTTGCCATGCTGATTCAAAATGGTATAATTTCTAAGAGCAATGGGATTTATTACTGGTTTAAAGACCAGTGTAAGGAAACAGATGACTGAAACCACAAGAAATGAAGATGGGATGATGAAGAAAGGCCTTTTGCCTGTTGCAGTGATGGTCACTTTGGGAGGACCCAGAAGTGGCTGCTATGAAAAAAATCAGCTCTGCACAGGTAATGCCTCAGCCTCCATGTCACATTTGGAAAGGACAGAAATGCCACACTTGGGTGACTTACTGTTGAGGGTCACCACTTCCCATTCATCTGCCAGAGCTGGGAGCATAAGGAAGATGCATTTCACAGATGCACGACGACTGGGAGCTGCCATTGCATTCCTTATGTAAAAAGACACCATTTCATTTGTAAGCACATGAGAAAAATCTAAAGATGTTGGCTGAAAGACACTGCATAACTTGTTGGGGTTTTTTTCCCTAGCATATAAGCCACTGCACACAATTCATAAGGACAGAAAATCACATGCATGTGTTTTATTTGAGAATTAGGTAATCACACAATTAGCAACTATATGCACTGTATGCAGGTAGGGTGGCAGAAGTTAAGGATGCATGTTCACAGATTCTGATTTTTAATGCTATATTACTCTTAAATAAACATATGATTCATAATTGGCTGGACAAAAATAACAATAGGTTTTCATTTCAGAAACAAAACAAGTCCCCAGGCTCAATTAGCTCTGAACTCTTGGAGTCCTCTAGAGCATTTAAAAACTTCTTTTATTCATAAAACCCCCTTTCCTTGTGGACAGAAACATATCAATGTTTCATCTCAATGTTTCTAGAAGAAAGCAATTTTACCAATGCCACTTTGCTGCCAACAACATGATGCCATCACAGCCATCAATAAAATGCATTGTTATTGCTGTTTATTATTTAGGAAATGCAGGTCATCCAGAAAAGCCAGCATGCACAGGGCATCCAGCAACACCAACAGCAGAAGCAAAAAATAAGTCTCCACAAATAGGTGTTTACATCAAAAGAGCAGAGATAGGGATTTTACTCAGGTATTACTATATCATATTCTAACAAAATTTTCCAGCTCAAACATCATGGTAGATGTAAAGAAGTCAGTAAATTTTCTTGAAATGCCTTTATTGCTTTTAATTGTTCCTTGGTAACAGCAGACTCAACAAGGGTTGGTTTTCTTTCTTTTCTTCCTTTTTTGTTATTAACAGATAATGTTCCTTAAAATTACTTTTAAGCTTCCAATTTATCATATGCCTTCCACAAAAGCCTTCTTTTTATTGACCACACTATGAATTACACACCTATTAACATTTCAGAAGGAGGGGGATCCTACTCTTGAGCAGAAATTTTCAACATCAGTATTAAAAAGGATGTCTATGGTAGCACAAACCAAAGGCAAGCACTTTAAAATCTAGGCTGGTAGACTCTTCACATCTCCCTGCCATTGTTTTTACAAAACAAGGTTTCCTGATATGCCTGGAGTCAATATGCTGAGACACAGGCTGACACTGCAGAATAGTAATAGCATATATTAAATCTGTGTTGGGAGCTGGTTACCAGAGATGTTACATAGTAATTATGGAGAGGATTTTCTATGAAATAGATTCTGGTTTTTCAAATGAGATTCTGAAAAATCACCCCCTAAAATTTCTGCCGAAATGCTTTACAACTTGTCCAAATTGTAGAGGACGCCTCATCTTTTCCCACAAAAGCTTATAAAGCTTGTAATTTACTGAGTTACTGCTTGTTCTAATGGCTATTTGAGGGAATGGCTTCACATGGGTAAGAGGAGATGAGTCTGTGTATTAAGGCAATTCAAAGGTTCACTCAATTTACACAAAGTAATGAAAAGCTTAACTTGAGCTCTCAACAATTCCACTTTCTCCCAAGTTTGTAACATGGATTTCATCAAGTCTTTGAGAGGCTGCCTGAGAGCGGGGAAGAAAAGATTCAGCAGATGACTGAAAACAAGTTTCCAGTTCTCATCAAGGCTTCATTAATTAGAACCACACGTCCCACATACAAGAGGTATAATGTAGGACTGCAAAGGGCCTGCCTGCACTCCTCTTACAAGAGCTCTCCTCTTGAGCAACATTGCAGAGCCTCCACTCAAACATATCCCTGGAGACCGTAATGGAGCTGGGGAGGGCAGAGAGCAAACAGCAGGAAGCCAGTTGGATGGCAAGGTCTAGCCACCTGTGACATCTGATGACCGATCCTCAGTTTGGAGGAGGAGGAACCAAGGAACAAAAATGAAAACAAAGCACATAACAACAACAAAATCTTCATACAAGCAGCCCTCATCCCTGCTCCAGACTTGTCTAAGTGAGGATTGCACAACGTGCTCATGAAATAATCTTCTGTCAACTGTGAAGATTTAGCTAGTCACATCATGCTTACCCTGTCATCACTTCAGTTCCTGAGAAAACCCCAAACATTTCTAATACTGCTTTTCCAATTAAGAAATCTATATTTGCTCAGAAAGTAGAAATCTAATGAGGTCTTGCTGGCTGAGTTAAAAAAGTAAGAGGCACTAAGAGAAGTCTGTATTAGGAGAGGAAAAATAAATAGCCCTTGTTTAAACCCTCCTCTCACCTCAGAACAAAAGGCTCAAAAACCGAAAATGGATTAAAGAAAAAGCAGATACAATACGAAATTAGTCTCTCTTCCTCCTGAAGGTAGCAGATTTTTCAGAGGCAAAATAAATTGTCTATTAAAAAAGAAAAAGCAGTATCTAAATACATTCTATGTAAGCATTCATTTGCAACACTGGAAACTCTCCAAGACTTCTCAGCCCATAGAGCCTGTGGCTTGGGCTCAGGCCCATGTGCAATAAAATAAGACCAAGTTTTTAGCCATTCTTTTCAGGGGATTGTTAGGCCACTGCTCCATTAATGTGAACCAACCCAGGCACCATCTATCAGGGCAGCCTTTTTTTAAATTACAGCAAACCCCACAGTATTCAATACTTCCAAACAAGTTACCAGCATCTCATATATAAAATTATTTCCACATATCAATACTTTCAGTAACTCCTTAAAAAGGACCCCAAGCATTGTTCGAATCAAAAAGGGTGAAAGTACAAGTCTAATTTTGAGTAACACAGAATCACAAAATCAATTGGGTTGGAAAAGACCTCTGAGATCATCAAGTCCAACCTTAGATTGATGATGTCAACTAAAGCATGGCACTAAGTGCCATGTCCAGTCATTTCTTGAACACCTCCAGGGTACTGACTCCACAACTTCCCTGGGCAGCCCTGTTCCAATGTTTAGCAACCCTTTCCGCTGCTCACACAGAGAAGAGGTAAAGAACTCTAAGCATGAATGTAAGCTTTTTTAAATGTCAGATTTATTTCCTTTTTGATACAGAAGAGCTGTTCTGCTCTGCAAATTAACTGAAAAAATCAGCTTAATTTTGATTTTCCTGTTGCATTTGCTTAAAAAAAGATGGATTTCTGCTGACAAGCCTTAAAAATTGGAACTCAAATTAGATTTTGTCTTCTCATATACTATTTTACAACTAAATCTGAAAACCTCAAGGTTTTACTACTTCTGCTACCACTAGCTCTTCCTGATATAGTACAGAAACTATACTGTATATATAAACCTGTATTTATGTACAGACAGACGTTCACATAAATAAAAACACTGGGTAGATGTAAAAGCTGCCATTTGAGTTTATACTCCCCAGCAGGAACTCCAGGCAAGCAATGTTCTGCCCACAAGCCTAAGGGGGATTTTTCCATGGCCTCCAGGTCAGGCTCAACAAGAATATCTTAAGTGCGGAAGGAGAAAAGGCAAAACTGCCAATTGCATTTCAAGATCAAATCTAGCACTCCTTAAAATAACACCTATTTTAATTAATTATGTATATACTAACAACAAAAAAATATACATATCGAAGTTTTAAAGTAGCAAATTTACATTATCTTTTTCTATACCAAGACTTTCCTTTACTAGGTTAGTTTTAGTACAGGTCATCCTCCCTAACAGCATATTTACAGACAAGGAAAAATAGTTAAACATCAGGATATTTATTTTGCATACAAATATTTACAGAAAAATACTTACAAAAATTAAGTATGCAAAGTTTAATTGACTTCAAAAAAGCTTTTATCTTATAAAAACATATTGCCTTTACTGTGCTCAAATTTACTATTCAGATCTCTGGATTTTCTTATAAGAGCTTTCTTCTGTGCTTCATCAAATCGATTGACTTTGAGATCCTGGTCTCGGTCAAATGGCCTTCTTTCTTGAGGTTTGGTCTTTTCTTCAGAAGCTTTGCTCTTCAGCTTTTTCTGATGTATGTCCATGAGAGATTCTGACCTCTTTGACTCCTGGAAATAATGAGAAGAAAGAAGAGGAAGTAAACTATTGCAGAATATGAACAACATATAGAAAACCTGAATGTAAAGATTGAAGTGAGGAAGACTAAAAATTCTAGAAAAAGACAGCTTAGTAACTGGATATAGAATCATAAATTTAGCACACATGGAACAGAAAATATGAGCAATCTTGTCTAGGCTGAGTAAAATACTAATAATTCACTGATGTTAGATACCCAGAATGTTGTTGAATCTCCATGGACAATGGAGATAAATTATAAAAATAATGCAAAAGAAATAGAAGAGTTGCTCTGCCATTATTAGCAGAGAAAAATGAAGACATCAAGAGAAATATCTCAACATACAGGCCTAGTTTCTTATATGCATCCCCTAAGCACCTGGTTTTGGTCACCGCTTGGGGCAGGAATAAGCTAGATACCCTTTTGATCTTACTTTCATGCACTACGGTGGTTTTTTTAATGTATGCTCCCAAATTTGAATCATCTGTTGAAAGCCCATAGGACAAAGTCACAGGCTAGAGCTAGAGCATGTGTTTTGCCAAGCCAAGGGCTTAAGTTCCATTTCTTAAAGAGCATGATCCAGCCCAAATACAACATAAAACTTTTGCTGATTTCACACAGCAGCAGGATTAGTCCTCACAACACCATGTGGTCCATCCTGTACTCAGATACAGTGCATTTGTGTATCCAAACCAATTCTTTCATCCAAAAGTGCAAAAGATGAGCAGCTCTCTTTTCTCGTGATTTTTATTCCAAAGGTTCATTTTCCTTTACTTCCTGTGCAAACACTTAACTTCATCACACATACAAATAATGGTTCATACATGACATAAGAAATGATTCTCATGGAAAACAGAAAATGGACAATACTTATTCAAGGTATAACTGTGTCAGTGTTGACAGAATCGCACCAGAAAATGTATGTAACATTGAGAGAATAAACTGTAAGAAACTATTCTAAGAATGAAAGCTCCTGTTCTAGGAAAGTAGCCTTGGTAAATGTCAGAAATAGGAAAGAATAGAGGAAAAAACTGTAAAACACAAAGCCCATAACAAACCACCTAAAAATCAGAAGAGTTAATTAGAAAAACAAAAACAAAACCAAAACAACCAAAGACAAACAAACAAAACCCCCCAGCAAAACAACCCAAGAAACACTGTCCTTAAACAAGATGCCTTCCAGTTTTTTTGAGAAAATTCCATTAACCTTAGAGACAGTAAAGGCCTGTATATGTTTTATTCTGCCAATGGTAGAGAGCAAACCCCAAGTTTTACACAAAAATTATTCTACTATATTCATAGTGACAGTAGAAACAAACAGTAAAGAAGAAATTTAAGGCAGAATGCTAATAGCACCGGATTTGCAAGTCTCTAAGTCAAGAGGGACATGTGAATTAATGAACTACAAATAAATCATTAGAAGAGCCAGATAAACATAATTCATGTAAAATACGCCAAGGCTGTGATTCTCAAGTTAATTATACTCTCAAGAGACCAGACTGCCTTCCATAAGAGTTCAGGCTGTACATCAGGGAAGAACTGCAACTAACAGCTGTAAGGCAGGCAACAGTCTATACACTCCAGTGGACAGGGCTGGTAGACAGAAAAGTGAGAGAAAATTTGACATGGAGTTCAGATTTCTAGTAATCAACATCTGTCTGTGAAAATTATCTGCACATGTAGAGATTGAGAAAAATTACATGTAATGAAGTTGCTGTAATGAGCAGTTAATGTAATTAATGACGTAGTGTAATTGACACATTGATCTGCTTGGCCTACCAAGCCTCTTTTAGGTTAATGCATATTTGTCCTACAAGTTAAACCTCCACCATTGTTTTATTCTTGGGATGCTGTTAATGTGTTGAAGTAAGCTAATATTTAAATTAAGGTTGCCTATTCCCAGCCACCATGTCCTGACATGAGGGTGATTTAAGGAAAGCACCATCTAAAACTGAGACAATATATACAAACCCAAATTCTGTCACTTTGGAGAGGACTCAATCCTGCTCTTTTTGAAGTCAATGGTAAATGTTCTAATGACTTAAAACAGCAGTAGGTTTGGGCACTAAAAGGGAAAACTGTGGTGGCATCGCCATGGGAACCAGTAGCACTAGAAATGAGAACCAGAAGAAAAGAGTAAAGAACTAAAGAAAATACAGGAAGAGGAAGTATTTTGCAATTACACTTACATTGTATGAAGTCACTTGCTCAATGAGTCTCTTGTCCCTCCCAGATAAAACTATTTCTTCCTTATCCTTACTGGTTGACTTTTTTGCCTCTTCTCTTTCCTGATGAGTAGAAGCAAATCACACACTATAATAATCAGAACGTCTGAAGTAAAAAGCAAGGAAGCCTATATCTACTTTAATCAATTCCGAAGGGTAGAGCTCAAGATAGAGCCCACTAGATATATTTTGCTCAGCTTGACAGAAGAAGAAACTGGACACGCTAATTGGAAATTCAATGAGTTGATACAGAGTATCTGACTACTCCAAAAGGGAGTAGGAATAAATGAACATCAATTATACTTAATACTATTCTTTCAGTGCCTTTACCTTTCAGCCTAAATTAGTAAATTTTGATAACAAAGAAAAATCTGGGAAATAAAATTTCATGTAACAGCCCAGGGTATCTTTATTTGGTTTTCACAGAACATCAACAACATACATATTGCCTGCAGGTGTATTTGAGTAATGAAAAAATGCTCACCTTGGCTTTTCTCTCTCTGTCAGCTGGAGTATCTGTCCAAATAGATCTATCGCCTGATGTGTCATCAGCTCGTCTCTTGAATGTTCTTGGGCCAAATCCAAAACTTTTCAACTCAGGTGGAAGCTCTGTCATCCATGATTCCCTGGTAACTTGCTTAGGTTCATTCTTTGTGAAAGACATAGGGGCAGAGGGAAATAAAAAAAGCAAAATCAAAAATTACTGTCTAAATCTCTTAGCTTCCAGCAGAAATCATGGATTTTTCTTTGTGTTAACAACTGCAAACACTCAGCATCTCCAGCAGAACTGCAACTGGGTTCACAGAGAAACAGGCAAAGAAAAAGACAAATACAATCCAGCAAATTATTAGACATTAAGAAATCCAACTTACGCTGTCTGCTGAAGTAAGTTTTTCTTTCATTCTCTGAGCTCTGCGTTCAAACTCTTCAGTCACATCAGACTCCACCGGTCCTTTTGCAGGCATTGGGCCTATAAGATTGTCTTCTTCCTCGCTACTATCTGTTACCTTCCAAAAATAAAACATTTTTCTCAACCATAGTGCTGAGAGCATCAAGAAACACTATAGCTTTACAGGATTAGAATGATTTTGTCTAGAAGAACATATAAACCCAATGCAATGCATCTGTCAGACAACAAAAATCTGGATTAAAACTCCAGATGAGACTTGTTCTAGCCCTTCAACGTGGATGCTTAGTCTCCATTTTGCCAAAAGCACCATCTCTTGTCTGAGACAAGACGGCTGGTAAGGACAGTGCAGTACACAAAGTCCTGCTGCTTTACATTGCTCTGCACGCAGCCACACAGCCTCTGTGGTCGCAGGCAGATTTGAAACACACAAGGATACATCTTCGATACTTTGGGCTTTATCACCACTAGCAATATATGGATGCATCTCCATAATAAGGATCGCAATTTCACACTGCAAGAACTGTCTCGAGCTTAGATTCTGTAAGGATGATAGAAAGATTTCCAATGGAAGGTAGGGTAACAGTGGCATGCACGGTACTACACTCCTGGATATGTAGCATCTGCCAGTCTTATCTCTTGGTTCTGTCATTTGCTTCTTCAATCCCTTCAGGATCCCTTCAGGAAGAATTTGTTCACTGAAAGGGTTGTCAAACATTGGAACGGGCTGCCCAAGGAGGTGGTGGAGTCACGATTCCTGGAAGTGTTCAAGAAGTGACTGAATGTGGCACTTAGTGCCATGGTCTAGTTGACAAGTGATCAGTCAGAGGTTGGACTTGATGATCTTGGAGGTCTTTTCCACCCTTAATGACTCTGTGATTCTGGCATTGCGTTCTAAGCAATTATTTGGAGAAGGGCTCAAAAAACTAAGTTTGTAAGGGACTAGAGATTAATAAGAATCTTTGTAGTTGCCAGGGATTGTACAGAAAGCTCACAGGTCCCTCCCTCCAAGTTCAAACAATACAGATGTGGATGGAGGCAAAACTAGACAGAAAATGGTGATGCCACAGTGCCCTGGAAGCAAAGCTCAGGTGCCCAATATCTATAAAAGAGCAAATATTTAGCCACAGTCAGAATGTGGGTGATAAAGCAATGGGAATAGGCATGACAAGGCTGTGTAGTCAGGAAGCACAAAGCATTACTTGAGAATACATAAGTGGCAATTCATTATATTCACTAATACAAAGTGAAGAGTCAGCATGAAGTAGATTGCCTCTAAAGATGTACTACAATATAAAATAATTAAATAAATTAAAAAAAAACCAACAAAAATTGCTCAAATTGAAAAATTTTAAAAAGAGTATTATTAGGAAGAGGTAAGAAAAAGATCATTATTAGGAAGAGAAAAAAGGTGAGTTCTGTAATAGATGCAAAAAAGCTGATGCTAGAGGATGTATTTATAAGAAAAGAGACTTTTTTGTTTGCAAAATATATAAGCAGACCAGTTTTGACATCCCTGCCTCAAGAGATTTGTCACTATGATAAATTGCTTAATTGTTATTTGGAGTTATAAGATGATGAGTATCTCAGAAATGTCAGATAATCTTTCTTCGTGATAGATTACGACAGCATTCGCTGTAGGAGGCTGGAAAATTATATGCTTTGCAACTACTAACCAAAAAAGTGAAGTTTCAGAGCAGCCTTTGCATCCTTGCTTCCTAGCATCTCCCACAGTTTCTGGGAGTTAAATGTAAAAATATAAGTATTTTGAAATGAAACAAAATAACGGTGAGTTCTCACAAGGAATTACTATTCACTTTATCATAGCATGAGAGAGATTCAATTGCCCAAGCACTGGTATCCAGCACCATTTTTGGTGTCTTAGGGTATCCTGCCAGAGGTGCTGCTCAAGAAGGGTGCAATCTTCTCTGGAGTGCTACTCCCTGTCTGCCAGCCCCTTCCATAGACAATTCGGATCCCTCAGAATGGTACTGGAGGCCCACATCCAGGGCGCTGAATTTTCCCCATACTTCTAGTTGCATTTTATCACATATCTTAGTCCTGAATGTTCTTTAGTAGCACATGCTTTATTCTGTATTTCCTCCCAATGTCAAGTGTGCCCCCTATGCACACACCACAGAAATAACTAAGAGTGTCTCCAGTTTTTGGGAGGGTCTGTGCAGACAGCTGGGATGCAAAAAAATCCCAGGAAAGTTGCAGCATATAGTCAAGGAAATCCACTTTTTTCTTCCCTAGGTATTAGACTACAAAACTTCTACCTAGGTAGAAGTTTTACCTAATCTGATGGAACAGTCAAAAAAGACAAACCAGAAAGTTGTGTCAGTGTCACTGTCCTGCACCACCTCAGGCCCAGTTACAGGTATTATCTTGCTATTGATAAGAACAAATAGTGACACTATAACATCATTATTGACTGTATTCTTCTAGATAAACTTACTTAATGAAGCTACTAATAAACATCTTTAAGGAGGTGAAGATTTGTGAAACATTCGATCATTTTGCTCTCCCATCAGCAAAGGAGTAGAAGCTGGAACTACAGAGAAATACTTTCATTCTAATAGGTTTCATTACTTCTTTAATGCCTTTAAAACTCTGAACTTTTCCAGGATGTTCACTTGTTAAGGATGGCACAACAAAAGAAATAATGGAAAAATATTAGGAAGAATTATTGTGACTGCAGTTTAGGATGTCTAGATGGCTCGTGTTCAGTGAGTGCACCATCTATCTAACAGCAAAAGCACAACAAACCAGACCAGTCTTTTTGTTTTTAAGGCTTTGTTATGCTTCAGTATTTGACTAAGGCAAAAATATTCCAGACACTTCCTGGTCCCAAATTAAACTGTCATCCTGGTAAGTATGTCTAGTAGTCTTTTTTCAGGATGCAACTTGTTTAACCATTACTAAACAAAAGGCTTCTGTTTTTACAAACCTGAGGACTGAGTTCTGATGAAACAGATGGTCCTATGAAACATTTGCTACTCCTGGTGTCCTCTGAAGGTCTCTTAAAGCCAGGTGGTAATGCAGGACCTATGATGGGCCTTTAAGGGGGAAAAAAATGTAGCAGATTAATATAGAAATATAAGTCAAATATTGATGCAAAGTGTGACTCTCCTTCCTCCCAATGTCAAGTGTGCCCCCTATGCACACACCACAGAAATAACTAAGAGTGTCTCCAGTTTTTGGGAGGGTCTGTGCAGACAGCTGGGATGCAAAAAAAACCCAGGAAAGTTGCAGCATATAGTCAAGGAAATCCACTTTTTTCTTCCCTAGCTTCCTTCACCAGATTCAAGAGCAATGAAAGGTGTTAAGCCCAATATACAGTCCTCCTTCTCTAGCAACAAACCCAACTTTATTCTTCTTGTCTTGCACCACAGTTTCAGCGCCCTTCAATAAACAGAAATAGTGAACTGCTCTGATTTTATTTTCCCTTGGAGTGGAGATCAGAGAAGGAAAGTTTTGTGATTACAGGTAATTTCACTGATTTGTTTTTACACAGCAGCTCTGCAAGCAATTTAATTCAGTTGTCTCCACAAACACAGGAATGTAAGAATCTCTTTTCAACAGTGAAAACAATTCAAAGAATAGTACAAGCTGTGTTTGCAGTATTGAAAGTCTTTTGTATGTGACTTCCTCTTAATAATCCACCATAATGTTCTTTAAAGCTAATAAAAGCTAATTAAAAACCCAAACAACTGTCACCTGAAGAAATATCCAGGTGACAGTATCCTCGCAATGTATCAGCAAAGACTTTTGTTTATGATCATCTTCAGTTCTGAGCTTCAGGGTGATCAAATGAAACAACGTGAATTTGCTAATTATGGTCTTCTTCTCGATCCCACATAAGCTAATCACTATAGCCCTGCTGTAGTGATATTATTGTCAGGATTTAAACTGGGGAAATAAAAATCAGAAAGTCTTGATGAAGAGCTAACAGATATACAAAGAAGAGCAACAAATAAGAGCTCAGGCCAGGACAAGGGCACTGGTGAGGTTTCAAACCCAGGCAAGAAATCTTGGTTAAATATGAAGTTCCACCCCCACCTAGCTGCTGCAATTTTATCTTCCTCCCTTCCTTTCTGATTGCTTTGTTGTTAAAACCATGTTTTAAATTTCCAGTATAACTTAAAGAGATTGAATTTAAACTGATAGAGATACAGCCAAAAAAAAATATCTCTTATTTCAGTATATGAATACCTTTATTTTGCATGAAGAGACAGTTAAATCAACCTATAAAAAAAAGCTTTATACTAAAAGATATAGGAACATCTATGTTGTGGGTTGTATCTGTGAAACCTATGAAAAACAATCAATCTCACATGCTCTGTCTTGATTCTGTTACAGCTCAAAGGCTCTTCAAAGGAATAGAAAAATGGTTCCCATATTCATCCTTCCCACACTTTCCACTTCTTACGCTTCCCCCCCCCATGAATAATGCTATGCCTTGTCAGCAGTACACAGCTGACATGACTCTTGACAGCTTCCTGGATGTCCAAAGGGTCTTTCGATTGGTGAAGTCAATCTAAATAAAACACTGTAAGATACATTTTACTGCTGTTACCAGCTTCAGTACCTATATACACATGTTCAAAAACGCCCCCCAAACTCATCATGGACTGAGCTTTAATTTAAGGAATATTGCATTTCATATATGGCAAAGAATGTTCTCCTGTTGTTGGACTTGGGAGTCCTTGTTAATGCATGTTTCAAGATGGGCATTTCAGCATTCTTCTGATGTATAACATAATTTTTTTTAAGACAACCTTCTCTCTTTACCTTGATGTGTGAACGCTTCAGAAATATTTACGAGTGCTGCACTTCTGTCTAACATTGATAAACAGCAATATAATTTCCAAAGTTGAAGGAAATCTTTTCACATACATATTTTATGCTGGAAAGATTCAAACCATTTTCAACAAGCTGCAAATTGCCACGTGAGCTGCCCTTAATCATGAATATATTGCTTTGACAAGTCTGGAAAAGATGTAACAGAACAAAAGCTTTTCTAGAAGAATGAGTATGTCACACAAAACTAATAAACAGTATGTCCATACACTGAAACAAACAGCCTGCATTTGTTTCAATTATTCATGGTCGGTTGTCAGCTTGCAATCTGCTCAAGGCTAAGGGCAATGTAGCAGGGACATAGTCAGCAGCAGCGTCTCTGCCCCGCAGAGCTTACGCATCTCAGTGTGTCAGTGCAACCAGACTCCCAGGTGTACAGGGGTGGAAGACAGACAAGGCTCTTCCCATACATCACATCTTTCCCACCTATTTATGGAATCAGGCTGGGTGCAAAACAGCTCTGCTCAATCTGCTTTCTCAGTGTGTGCTAGGAGCAATTGTATGGTGAGGCAGGAAAAAAGATAGCAAGTGCCTTCTACTGCTTTAATCTCTCATACTCATAGACACAGAGCAGACTCCTGCCTCAATGTAAATGCAAGTTATCCAGCATTTTGGAAATAAAATAAATAAAAATAGAAGTTGGGTCAACATACAAAAGGCTAAGGTTACATAATGGGTGTTAGTGCTCAACTCCCTAACCTTCAAACTACAAGGCTTCTTTTCTTCTTCATTTCCTACCACGAGTATTCATGTCAAAACTCAAGAAAGCAAGAAGGCTACTTCTGCTGATATTAAAAGTTAAAAGTATTTTTTTGCTTTATTTGAGATCCCATTAGTTTTAGTGACCTCCAAAATTTTATAATTAAAATAACACACTGTGCATACAGAACACTAGAAAAAGGAAATCAAAGCACCAAACAAGCCCACTGAGCATGATATTCACAATACGAAAGAGTTTGCTGGTTACAGCAAAGCATAACCAAATATATATGAAGAGGATACTTCCAAATAACCTCGGTCACATAAATCCTGTTTTTCTAACTGCTGCATCATAGCAGTTTAATCAGTTTCTAACTGCTGCATCATAGCTGCATCAAGTATCATAAAAATTTATCAAAACTGAAAAAACATTTAACTTTGAAATTTCCTTTGAGATGGTATACTACATACACAGTCCAACAATAAACTGAGTCACCTTCCTAGAACTGAAAACTCACTGCTGACAAGCAGGTATTGCTTTATTTTATCTACCAGCTCCCCACTGCTCTGAGGAAGGTAACAGTGATCAAGAGACTTGTACTTTTCGTCAGTAAGCATCCCCTTGGAAGCACCAATTTCACTAAGGATTATCATTTCTAATTACAGAAGGAAGTGCACAGGTTGATGTAAAGACTAAAAGGCTGTGAGACATGGTTGAGTTCTGCATAGAAAATCCATAAATAGGTATTTTTGGGAAGTATTTTATAATTGTGTGCAACCAAATGGAAAGCTTCCTGATAGAGACCATAAATAATGCTTATTTCCTTAGACCTGACAGCTTCTTTTCTAGAAACCTACACTGTTCAGAGGAGTTTTGCACCTGGAGACACATAAACAATAATCCTTGATGCATTAGCAAATGACAGTTCTAATAGTCTGCACTGTGTTGCACCACACAAAAGCTAACTGCCCTAATCCCCCACAGATCAGAATGAACTACAGAACTATGGATCCTCATACCTGTAATTTGGGGTTTTTTCTGCACTGATCTGAAACCTATCAAAAGAAATGGAAGAAATTTGACATTCAAAATACATCTGAGACAATTTACATTTGTTCTTTTTCTCTCCAACCAGGTCTAGGAGGGCTGTGTGTTCTGTTTCAAGGGAATGACGTTCCTGTTCTCAGAATGTGGAGGAAGAATTAGTTCTAATCATCTGAATCTGAAGTGCACAGTTGAAGTGTTCTGTAATAGTGACACAAAATATTTTATCTAAAATAACTGTGTTTTAAGTAAAAGAATCTGAATATAATTCCATTTTAATTACCTCTCTGGAGAATCATCCTGTTTTTTAAATCCAGGAGGAAGAGCAGGCCCAAAAAAGCCATCATCATCATCGTCTTCAAGAATTCTTTTTGGCTTTCTGCAAATACAGATTTCACTTCATAATTACCCTGACATGCATAGCAATTATCTACATTTTAAAAAGGAAAAAAATACATAAAATTATTTCAGATGGTCTTATGTACTAAATATCCTACCGTTACCAAGGAAACAATGCAAAAGGATCCAAAATAATTTGAAGCAATTAAAAAATTGGGAGCCTAAGCTTCATTCCAAAAATGCTCTGACATTTAAAAATAAAATTAAAAAAAATAAAAACAAAAAAATCCAAAAAACCACATTATACTACTCTTCTTTCTACAGTAAAAGCATTCTTAATGTTGAAATGCCATTTTCTAGTCTCAAAGTAATTTCAAATTCAGCACACTTCTTTCTCCATTTTTATACACTGTCTGCATTTTGAGTAGTATTTTTCCCAGTAATTAACTGAGAAACTGTTGAATAAGAAAACAAGAAAAAAGTGAGTAATAATTACTCTAACGTTCATTAAGATGGCAAAATGACCTTCAAGTCTCTTATACAATGCCTAGAACAAACACACACAAATTCTAAACACAGCACTTGTGAGTAATCAACCCACCAAATGAGAGTATGTGCATACTCCCATTACTTGCTAAACAATTCAGGGTTTTTTTCCATTAGAGTTGACTTAACTGAATGCATAAATTCATGCCCATAAATAGTTTTTATGGCCTCTCAATGATAGCTAGTATACAAAAAACAGGGCAAAACAGTACCAAATATGTACATGATAAGTGGTGCCTGTCCTTAGTATAAACACTAAAATTACAAAACTAAAATAAGACATGTAAACACAGAGATCTGATTGCCCCAAATAACTTAATTCCACTGTAGGCTATCAAACAGGTCAGCTTAACATTCTGGACCACAAAGAACATGCAGAACATGTAATCAAAAGTCTTATACAGGTACAGAATTTACCTTTTTATTTTTTTACACACCGTTGTCCCTTTCTCATAAATTAGACAGACACATTTAATTTGCAATACAAGGTAAACATACAAATAAAGTAAGAACATACTCACTTGGATGCTGGATCTCCTGTCTCCTCTTCAGAATCTCTGTTTGCATTTCTGGGTAGAGGAAGAGATTCCAAGTCATCTTCACTGTCAGGAGTTTCTGAGCTACAGCTGCTTTTGTAGCCTGGAGGCAGTGCTGGTCCTGCAACTGAACATTCAGAGTTATTTGGGATCATAAAATCACAGAGTGCTTTGGATTGGAAGGGACCTTAAAGATCATCTAGTTCCAGCCCCCCTGCCATAGGCAGAGAACCTTCTACCAGACCAGGTTTAATAAGTATATTTATTAAACATTTCAAATGAGTATGGTCTATCGTGGCATTCCCAAAATAGGTATCTACTTGGAATTAAGTTTATTCAATCACTGCTCTGTCTGGCATTTAGAGAAGATATCTAAACAAAATTCTACAAGTTACTTTTTTCAGCACCATATTTCAATGAACAACCTGCCCTGAATTATACTAATCCATTACTAAATGAGTGTCTTCTGGAACAGGACTAGAAAGACCTGTTTTATATAACAACTGATTTACAAGGCACGTGATATAAACCAATATATTTAAAATATTTAAAACTACCCCCTTAATAAAGCATTTGAGGCTTACTGGTGAAGAAACACATAATTTGTGCATACACAGAGTGGGAGGCCATAGATTATTAAATGGGAGCATTGCAACCATAAAGTATTAAATTAATTGCCGGCCTGCTTTAGGAATAGTTTAACCAATTAAGGTTACACCCAGTCCAGCTAAGTGTGAACAGACTTAAGCAGGCACAGAGTTAAGTATTCTGCTGAAAAAGGGATGAATTTTTTAAAGAATCACTGCTGTCAGAAGGCCATGGTAGTGGATGGAGAGATCTCATGCTCTGGTCAACTCTTCACCCTCTGGATTAACAAGGGGGGATATCCCAGCAAAGGAAAAACTCAGACACTAACACTGCTAACAAGCCCAAGCTATTTCTGGCACTGTCCCCACCAGCAGGCACTGATCTTCATAGGTTTATTTGGATACAGTACCATGTACATGGATCCAGAAGGAGCGTAACCGTTGATCCTAAAAGCAAATGTCCCCCAAACAAGACACTTAACAGCGATACCCTCACAGACTCAATCAACAATGAGCCAACTGGAGTAAGCAAAGACTACCAACGGCCCCAACAAAAGAGGCCTTCCCAGATGCAGGACAACGTATGCAGGACCAGCATCCATTTACAGAGACACATTATGAACAGCCTACTGATGATTTAGCATCCTGAGGCACAGACATCATTTCTCCTTTTAATATTTCCAGCACTGAGTACAAGACTGACAGGACAGAGAGGTGTTTTGGTGAGAGGAAGACATTGTTCGCTTTATGAATAGTCAAGGGTTAGATGAAAAGATGAATGGTACCAGGAAATTGCATCTCCAGTTAAAGAACTAGGACTTTTTGATAGTGTAAAATATAAAACCTGATACAGATTATGGTTCCATTGTTAGCTGACAAAGGCCAGGAAGAAATCGAGTCCTTCGAGCAAGTTTAATAAAGCTTTTACTCATCTTGAGCATAAGACACAGAACAAGGACAGTCTACTAGTTACAAAGCATCCAGACAGATATACCACTTCTTTGTTTTCTGTTTGAATGGAAGAGACTTTAACCGGGACATAAAAATCCATTTCAGCACTAAGAAAGAAAAAAAAAAACACCAACAAACTGCCCCCTCACCCCCCAAAAAGTCCAAATGACACAACACTCCAGTCTATAGAGGTAAAATAAGCTCAAGATGACAGAGAAACAACAGACAAATGCTAAATAGGAATAAAAACTGCTATCAAGAAGTCTCCTCTTTTGATATGAGAAGCACCACTACATAAAAAGCACTAAAAAACCAGACAAAACCTGCACAACAGCTTTCTCCAGCTGCCTGGTGCCCTGACATCATGCAAGCAGATCTCATTTGCTCTGAATGCAGACAGGTTAGAGAAAGGATTTGGAGTGAAAGGAACAAACTCAGGTGCAGTTTGAGGAGTCTGATACTACAGAGAAAGAGAGAAATTGGGAGCAGCTTTGTGAGCTGGAAAGAACTCAGCTGGAGAGGATCAATGTCTACTATGATGAAGCTGCTGGTAACAAGTATGTCCCACGTGCCATCCTCGTGGACCTGGAACCCGACACCATGGACTCTGTGTGCTCTGGCCCCTTTGGACAGATCTTCCATCCTGACAAATTTGTCTTTGATCAGAGCAGGGCCAGGGAGGTGGTGGATTCACTGTCCCTGGAGGTTTTTAAGATGAGACTGGATGTGGCACTTAGTGCCATGGTCTAGTAACCACAGCGGTGCTGGTTTAAGGGTTGGACTTGATGATCTCGGAGGTCTTTTCCAACCCAGTTGATTCTATGATTCTAAACCCAAAACTATTTATGGAGGGAGACTGGTCCCACTCACATGTTGTTCAAAATCAGGGCTAACATACATACTTTCATCCCAATTCCTCTCTGTCATGTTGGCACAACTGTTTGCATGGGCTATGCAATAAACTGGATCAGGGAACCTGAGAGGCATAAAAATAACACTGCAAAACCCAGCACTCCTCTGAAAGAACTGTTTGTTCGTGGAATTGCAGCCCAAGAAGGACAACCAGGAATGAAATAGAGACAGAGACTGATTAATGAAGGGAAAATGGCATTTAAAGCCTAAGGAAGAAGAAGTCATTGCATGTGGTGAAAAGAAATGGAGGAGAAATAAACTTGGGATTAAATCTTAATATGGTCATGGTACTGACTGAGACTAACAACCTGCACAGGCAAAGATATAGGTACAGATAGGGTAGTTTGGGGAGCCACAGGAAAGAGCAGAAAGGTAGGAATGGGAATTGCTGAGCATAGATTCTGGGAGCAAAGAAAGGAAAGGAAAGGAAAGGACGAGAAGGGAGACCAAGACCTAATCAGAAGTCTGTGAATGAAAGCCAGGGAAAAGTGGAAAAATGCAGATGAAAGGAGGAACAGGGGAGAGGTCAAAGTGTCAGGAAACTAAAACCAGTGAGGTGAGGAAGACAAATGGATGTAGCAATAGTAGAGCAACAGAAAAGCGAAAAAGTAACCAGAGCTCAGAACAATTTGGAGCAGAAAAATGGCATAAAAAAGTATGAGAAGGAAATTTTAGGGATGGAGAGGAGAGAAACAGAACCAAGTCAGATTGAAGTGAATGTTTTAGGGCTGCTAGAAATGGCCATCCTACTAATGTTGCTCTGACTTGCCTTCTCCAATGAGCTGGCTCTGGTGACTCTCTGCCTGAAAATTAAGTCAATTCAATTCAATTCAGAAACCAAATTAAAACCTTTTTGTTTTACTAAGTTAATTTCTGCTGTATTTTGGGATTCTGAGCAATCTATCACACCATCAGGTATGCACTGGGAAGTTCTCAGGGACAGACAGGGCCTTTCACCTCCAGCAATAGTGGCAGATCAACTCAGACATCAGTATTGAACAAATGTGGCCCCAATGCTGAAACAGACAAAACTCCCTTCTACATCTCTGATTATTTTTAGCCATTCTCTAGCATTTCTCTCCTGCTGGTACAAGGACAGTGCAGTGGCAGGGACAAACAGACCAAAGGAAGCATGATTCTTTCAGCAGGAGCACAATTCGGCCAGCTTCAAAGCACCACCATGAGGTGAAGAATCAGGAAACGAGTGTGTCCCACGGGCTGGACAGTGACAAGACGAAGAAGGTAAAGAATTTACGAGAGATGAGCTTTTGTGTATGTCCAACTACCATCTGCTCCCATCCTCTTCCTGATTAAGGATGACAGAATATTAGTAGCGTCACTTCTCTGACACCAGAGATAGTTGGGTCTTGGAGTGCGTTTCCCCACACATACACTCCCCCTCTCCCTTTTTGTCTGTCTCCGATGGGCAATGTGGTTTGTCCTATGGCAAGAATAACAAATGAGTATTGCAGGAGAAAGTGTCTGGATGATGCATCTGGAGTCAGGGGAAGGCAGAGGGGGAGGAAGGGCAGGGTGGGACTCAAGGGGGAGCTGAAAAGTTTGCTACTGACTGTGGTGCACATCAGCCTGCATAAGGGTATCAGATGCCACTGGAGACTGGGCCAGCTGGTCTCCCAAGGTTGCACACAGCTTCCAGGTGGATCAGCCCCAGCAGGGATGACTGCAGGGTACATCCAGACCAAAGACAGGGAACACTCACTTTTGGATGGGTGAGTGTAAAAAGCACTAAGATCTGGTCAAGTATGGAGACAAAATCCTGAAGTAACTACATAGGTGCTTTGTAATTGTGAGTTCTGCATGGCTAAAGACTGTAAAATTGTATGTTTCTAATCAAACTTGCTTATAACCCTTTAAACATAAACTATTGGCCATATCTGAGACTAAGTGGACCCAGCCACACCCAGACTTCTCTGAGAAGCTTAGAAAGCACAGGGGTCTCACAGAAGTTCATGACTCACAGGAGGGACCACAATCTAATTATACAATAACCTATTGTAATAGATGATAGAGTTGCTGTTTAGATACTGCACTGGCAATATTTACATACTGTACCAGTAACAAACATAACCACTGTGTTCTATTTCTTGCACCTGGCTGAGAGCCTTCTCTTGACTACACTGCCACAAGCTGCTCAAAGTCCTACTTTGTTGTTGTTGGAAGGCAGAAACTATGAAAGCAGAATAAAAAAAAATAAGTGTCCTTAAAGAAAAGCAATGAGCAGGTCAGTGAGATCACAAGGAAAGAAAACATACTGGAAAAGCTGTTCAGCTTTAAAAGGTGAAGCATCTCTTAGAACAGCTAGAACACACATGGGAGATTGTTACAGAACAACTTCTAGGCCCATCTGACTCAAGATCCAACAAGTGTTACAGCACAGAAGACTGCAGCAGTCCCACCAAATGATTTTTGTCACTCCAGACACAGGGCTCCAGCTGGAGCTGTAGTTCTGTACAGCAAAGCGTATTATGCTGAAGTACTTGGTCTCCCTTTCTCCTCTGCACTGTACCAGTATGCCTCATGTGGTCAGCAGGTACACTTAGTTTTTCTGAGAGGCTATTTTAAGTTAGGAAAAGTTTGTAAAAATTATAAAAACAAATAAACAACCTCCCAGTAGTTGGGGTTTGGGCTTTTTAAAGCAAATAAATTCCCTCTCCCACTTCACACAGAAATCTCCAAGCAGATCTGATGTACACTGGGACAAAAAGTGGACAAACTAGGCTGAGTAACGTGACTAGATACTGCCAAAACACTCAATGTCAAAAAATCATGATAAGCCTAATGATAAGTTTAACTTGTGGATTCATACACGATATAGATACTTGCAACATGCATCAGTACGTTGATGGAAAGTGAATAAGCCATCAAGACAGATAGGAAAAGGAAAGGCTTCACGCGCTCAAACAAGCTTGTAGTCAGGGCTTCTGCACAAAGGCAAGCTAGGGACACAGAGCTTCACGTTGCCATGACTTCAGCTAATGCAGCATCTTTGCTCCCTCTTCCTATTGCTCCCTCTTCTGGATTAAGAAATTAGGAGAGCAGACGAGCACAGCAAACCTCTCGCATCAAAGCTCCTTTCTTTGGGATAACCGAACGATCATGGACACACTGACAGAAACTGAATATGTATACTAGTGACTTGAACCTGGATTAAAGACAAGGAGTGCTAACTAGGTCAAAGAGCTAATTCCAGAGCTATTACTGACAGGGAACATGCAAGCGTTCAAGTGTGGGAAACCGAGCTCCACCGCAAAAAAGCCAGCCTCGCAGTTGGCTGGTCTCAGAGGGGTCCCCCCTCTGACACGACGGCTCTCAACATAGAGACCCTGGCACCACAGCCCCACTCACTGCCAGTCTGTTCCGCAGTGGTGGATGGACACTGCCTGGAAAACTACAGTTTGCTGAAGCGGTTTGGTTTGACAAAAGGCCCAGCATCCGCCTCGCTCTCCTGCCCACTACGGACTCGGAGCTACTGAAGAGCACAGGCTTCAAAGCCCACGTGAGACCTGAGCAGGAAAAAATAAAGGACTCCAAGCAGTATTTTTCTTAAACAAGTTTCAGACCGTTTCGTATCTGTAGTTTCCCATCACACAAGGCTTTTTTTTTTTTTTTTTCTGAAAAAGTCACTGTAATAACCACCCCGCGAAAATTAGCTCCATCCAGGTCCCGCACTGGCGTATCCCGCGCTGTGGAATACGGGTTGCAGAGCCCCGTAATCCCACCCCCGGCGCATCCCGCGCTGTGGCACACGGACTGGGAGCCCCGTTATCCCACCCCCGGCGCATCCCTGTGCCCTCACCCTGGCTGAAGTCCTCGCCCGGGTCCGCCTCGGCGCGGCTCGGGAAGCCAGGCGGCAGCGCGGGGCCGATGAGCTGTCGGGCCATGGCACAGCCGGCTCCGGCCCTTCGCCCCCGTCCCGCTCCGCTTCCCCGGTCCCCGCCCCTCCGGCGCTTTCGGATGATGCAACTCCCGCCTAGCCAGGAGGATTTACCTTCCTCACCCCCGGACGTGACGCGTTTAGCGGCGGCCGCCGGAGTGGCCCCACGTGGTGGCGGGAGCGCAGCGCGGGGCAGGGGCCGCGTCCGAGCGGCCGCTCCGGCCCGGCATGAACCCCTTCGCCTGGTACCCGCCGCCCCCGCCGGGGCTCCCTCCACCAGGGATGCCCCCACCCTTCTTCTGCCCGCCGCCCTCCTGGGAGCCGAGCTTCTGGGCTGCCCCCGGGCCCTTCCCGCCGCCCGGGCGATACCCGCCTCCCGACAGCTTCCCACCCAGCACTTACACGGCCGCCGACACCTACTCAGAGCCCGCCGAGAACTACCCGCCCGCTGGGAGCTACTCGCAACCTGCCCAGAGCGCCTCGCCCGCCGAGAACTACTCGCAGCCCAAGAGCTATCCTCCTGCCAGGAGCTATTCTCAGCCTGCCGAGAGCTGCCCTCCCACCGACAGCTACTCCCAGCCTGCCAAGAGCTACTCGCAGGCTGGGAATTACCCAAAGCCCGAAGGGTACTCGCAGCCTGAGGGCTACTGCCAGCCCACCGAGAGCTACCCGCCTACTCAGAACTACCCACAGCCTGAGCGGTACCCGCCTGCCGAGAGCTACTCACAGCCCAAGAGCTACCTGCCGCCTAATAACTACACATCCCCCGCTGCCTGGCACCCACCGGCCTTTGGAGTGCGACCGCAGGGCCCGCATGCAGGTGAGGGACATGGGAGAAGTCGTCCCGTGGGCCTCTGGACTCCTTCCCATCCCACATAGGCAGGAGCCCTGGGGCTGTCCTGAAGCCTTGGGGGGTGGAGGACCCTCCAAGCATGCTAGTCGTGCAACCCTCTTTCGTCTCTTCCCTCTCTCTTCTGTCGTCTCTAGACCCTTCAGTGGGCCCACCGAGGTAGTAGGAGGGAGGAGGGATGTTTTACCAGCTGTATGTATAAATGGCTCTTTTTTTTTTTTCCCTGTTCCAAAGGTGGAAATGGTAATTTCTCCCAGAAATGGCAAGGCAAGCAAGTCCCTGCATTTGGTAAACGTCCACAAGAAAATAATAAGCCAAAGGTACGGGTTGGGGTCCCCAGCACAAGAGAGAAGTGGACCTGTTGGAGCGGATCCAGGGGAGCGCCACAAAAATGATCAGAGGGCTGGAGCACCTCTCCTGTGAAGACGAGTGGAGAGTTGGGATTGTTCAGCCTGGAGAAGAGAAGGGTCCAGGCAGACGTTATAGCAGCCTTTCAGTATTTCAAGGGGATTTACAAGAAAGATGGGAACAGACTTTGTAATAGGACCTGTAGCGATAGAACACAGAGTAATGGTTTTAAACTGAAACAGAGTAGTTTTAGATTTGATGTAAGGAAGACTTTTTTTACCATGAAGGGGATGGGAGGCTAGCACAGATTGTGCAGAGAAGTTGTGGATGCCCTGTCCCTGGAAGTGTTCAAGGCCAAGTTGGATGGGGCTTTGAGCAGCCTGATCTGGCGGAAGATTGCCCCTGCCTATGTCAGGGAGGTTGGAACCAGACAGTTTTTGAAGATCCCTTCCAACCCAAACTATTTTGTCAGTCTGTGGTGGTGACAGTGTTGGGGGTCTTGCCCCATGGTGCTGTAGAGATCCCATACTCTTGTCTAATATGCCAGCCCTTACATATAACAGTCTGTTAATACTGAGCCTCTTGAAAGATACATTTCAAGCAAATTCTAACACAGGTTTGTGTTAGAAACGCCCTTACTGTGGTGATGCCTGAGTGCCTAAATTACATTAACGCTCTGTGATATTGTAAAGACCAGACAACCAGATGACACTGATGTGTGTAGTGGGAGAAGGAAAAATCTATGCTACCCTCAGAACTAGTACATGTCACGTGGGGAGAGTCATAGTCTGTCTTGATAGGGAAGAGACTCAGAGCTGTTGCCTAGTTTGCCTCACAGCCCTCAGTAAGTCTGTGCTAGGCTGGTGCATTTGCAGAAGTACTTGATTGAAAGGTGGTAGTGGAAGAGATGAGTGCAGCTCACTTTGTTTAGGAGATAAGTGATTTGAACTTAACTTTCACATTATGTTAGCTTATCTTTGAAACTTTTGAAATGTGTAACTGATGGCTTTATTAATAAAAGTGTTCATGATAGTGCTTCGCAACTAATTAAAAATAGAAGTATCTTGTAACTGCAATCTTGAGATTATTTCTTTTTTTTTTCTCCAGACCAAAAAGAAAAAAGAGCCAGTTTTCTCTCATTATTGTGATACCTGTGACCGTGGCTATCAAAACCAGGAGAAGTATGAAGAACATATTTCACAGCATAAACAGGTTGAAGAGTTTGGCTTCTTTCATTCGCTTCTTTCATTCATTCATTTCATAAAATCATTTTGATTTTAAACTTTCTACCTGATAAGTAGTTAGCTGTAGTCAGTCTGTGAATGGAGGACTTAGCAAAGAGATTCCAGAGCTGTGTGAAGTAGTAGTGGAGGACTTTTTTCTGAATGCTGTGTGTAAGGGAGGTTTTAGTTGTATTTTTGGTTTTATTACTGAAGTATTTTTAAATGTTTTCTTCTGAAGTATTGCTAAGTGATAGGAATTAATTCATTGATATCAGTATAGCATGTACAATTTTTGTGTGGAAAACATCGCAAAGATTTAACATTTAACTTAATCGCAAAGAAGTATCAAAATTTGAAATTGGAGTGTCTTGCAAATTTTTCCCTTAGGTAAACTTCACATTATCTCCAGTTATCAGATACGTTGGCTGCACTGGTTATTCTAAAATCAGATTATATTTGAAAGCGTATTATCCCTTGTTACTGTTTTTACAGTTGCCTTTGTCTGGAACCTGAGTAGCTTAAACATTCTATATAATAAACCATGCAGGTATCTGTCACTGAGTTTGTTTAAAGTGTGCTCAAATGCTTGTTCATAGTCTGTGTAATTTGGTGTGTTTTAAGTTCACCCTCTTATCTTGCAGTGCACAGAAGAAGGTTGCAATTTCAGTGCACATGAGAAGATAGTTCAGATACACTGGAAAAACGTAGGTATCCCTCTGGGTCCAAAACATGAGTCTATGCCATCTTTACCATAGTCCCTTTTCTCATTCTTCAGTGGTTTCTTTTTGTTCATCTGGAAAGAAAATGTATCACCTCTGAGTAGAATGTGTTTTAAGGCAAGAGGATGAAAATATGTTGAAAACTACGTTTGTTTTTTTTTAATGGATTAATTTTGTCATCACTGTGTGCAGTCTCACCACTTTTGGAGGTGAAAACAGTGTGATACTGCTATAGCTGACATAATGATGCCTTTTTTTTCCCTTTTTCCTGTTTTTTTCCTTCCCCTTTTAAACACCATTGAATACTTCTTCCTTAGGCACACGCACCGGGTGCTAAAAGAATAAAATTAGATAGTCCAGAAGAGATTGCTAGATGGAGAGAAGAAAGAAAAAGGTAAGACTTGTGGCCTATCAATTTGTTTTACTGGATTTTCTCCATGTGATCATTAGATGACAGATGAAAGGCAATAGCAGCATGTACTTGCTGCTGCCGTGCTGTTCCACTGACCCTGCAAAACTCCTGCAGTAGTAATCTGCGTCAGAATGCCTTAGGCAGGAGAGTGTGAGTTGCAGAGACTATAATAATTTGTAGTATTATAATAGAAGGCCAAATATCAGCTGAGAAGAGGTAGCTTTCCCAGATGTTTGATCCGGTACCCCAGGTTAGGTGAATGTCTTATTCCTCTTAGCCTGATCACTGATCACATTTTAAGTCAAAATGTGTGTTTATGTGGTGTTTTTCTAATAGTTAAAAAATAAGGAACTGTTGTACAGACTGTAATTGTAATCTATCCTGCTGTATGCAGATTTCCACAGCTTAAGTTGTCCCAGTAGACTGCAACAGGGAGTTTTCCTAATTTTTGAGGACTTTCTGCATTGCTTGACGCTTTTCTACTGAAAGAGAACAGCATCAATGAATGATATTGTCTCAGGTAGTGTAACTTACATTGTATATAGGGTGCAAGGTAAAGTTCTTCTGTATGCAGTATTTCTCATAATTTCTCATTCTCAGATGTAAAAGCTTGTAACTTTTTTCTGTTGAGCAGGACTGAAGTGTTTAGAAATTCATACTGTACTTCCATAGACCTTATCTCACAAATTTTTTTTCCCTCAGAATTGAACAAATTAAAATCTGCCCTTTTCCATCAGGTGAAAGATACTGTAGGCTTTCCTCACTTCTGTTAGTGATTTAGAATATAGTCTTGCAAGTGATCAGTGCATGGGTTTTGTTTCTCTCACCACTTTTTTCGTAATTTCTACCAAATGTCATCTTTTTTAGCAAATGAAGATAATCCATAGGTTCATATTGTTTTTTAAATATGCTTTTGTTGATATATAAACAAATTATTTTCTCTCATGTTTAAAATGCCATAGTTAACCAGACAAAAATTGGTTGTGGTCTGTGCAAATACAAGCACAAATGTTAGATTAGGCAAGTTTAGTGTTAGGTTAATTTTCATTCCAGGGTTTCCTTTTATTCAAAAGATACTTGAGGGCTTGTTTTTTATTTACTTTCAGTCTGCATATTACTGTCATGTTTTTCAGGGACCTACATCTAATTTTCTAATAGTAGCTCCAAGGAAAAAGGTCAATACTCATGTACAGTTTTTGAGTGAGTCTTTGCTACTCATCTTCAACTTTTGATACACTTTTCTGTTTTGTGAGGTGTTCAGGAGAGTTCCTGTCTAGTGGTTGATTCTAAGGTTTAAGTGTGATGTTTAAGGTGTATGTGTCAGTATGTGCTCTGCTGTTTACTAGAACATTAGTTAAGTGGGAATTGAGTGTACAATCGTGATTAAGATACTGTTTGTGTAGAGAGTGAGTGCTGTGAGTCATAGCAGCCTTTATCTACAGTTAATTATAAGGGTGATGCTCTGCTTGAGATGGTTTTGCTGAGATTCTAAA